ATAGTCTCTCTGTAGCCTTCTACAACAACACTCTACAACAACAAGCAAAATCAAGGTCAAGTCAACAAAATCTGAGCTTTTTTGCTATGTGTTCAGACAAATTTGCACCATTAACAAAGTCATAAATTCTCCCAGAAATTCATTTTTTTTTATTTCACAGCTTTGAGATAAACATCTCTGCAGTGCAAATGTCTTAAAAAGTGATCACAAAAAAAAAAAAGAAAACAAAAACAATTTTATTGTTTGTGTTTTATTTTCCCATTATTCGTGACCATTCAAGTCAGATGTAGATGAATAATTACAGTTAAACGATCTGGTGAGATAGCAGGTGATTAAAAATAATTCTAGGGTCAGTACCCAAAGGAGATAAGGGAAATCTAGTCATTGTAAGAGGTAAAACCGGGCAGTGCAAATCCCTTTAAAAGAAACAGCTTAGAAATCAACAAGCCAGATAGATAGATAGGATGCAACAACCAAGGAATGTGAGCAAGAAGCAGGGGTTAGGTAGTGCTGCTGGCATATCAGACACAACAAACACAGCTAAGCTACAAATACTTTGGAAATTAGAAATCAAGAGCATAACAAGTGATCAAAGATATGAAAATGTGCAATTGGGAACTTTTTGTACTTACACAAGATATAAAAGGTATTATAATAAGAACGCTGTGGACCCCTAAAAGCATGATAACAGGGTACAGTCATAGTTTCACAATTCTGCCTTTTAACAAGTTGCATACAATTGCTTTGCATGATTTGGACGCAATGTTGATGCAGTTTAGTTACACACACTTTGCATGCACCTGTGCATGCGCATCTTCCATTATTGGAGATGCACCCGCAGACATAATAGGTTAAATTTTGTGTGTATATATATATATATACACACACAGTTTAATTATATGTATATAGTATGCATATATACACAGCATGCCTCACAACCCTCCCAAATTAGAAAGGACAGTCCTGATTTTTGAGCTCCGTTCTGCTGTCCTGTCATGACATCTGCCTGTCTCACTTTTTCCGATCATCACTTGTAGTGTAAAGTACCACACAGTCTGCTGAGACACAGTCCATGTTGTGATGGGTCACACAGGAGTCAGATTACACTCTACTCTCTCTGCTCCAGAACACTGAACAGGGAAGAGGGAAGGGAGTGATTACGTCACCGCTCTGTGTGAGTACGAAATGAGCAATGATGTCACCGATCTGTGTGAGCAGAGAGTGAGTGACGACATTACCATTTTGTGTGCATGCGGAGTGAGCAATGATGTCACTGCTCTGTGTGACTCTGGAGTGAGTGATGATGTCAATGCTCTGTATAAGTATAGAGTGAGCGATGAGGTCGCACACTCTCGTGCAAGCTCTGTGGAATTAACGGAAGTGGAAGAGAACCTTCCTGGCTGACTGATTTATAATGAAATTTCACTGCCTCTAGTGGTGTCTCTAAAGCATTAACCTCATCATGCTTTATTTTATGTCATAAATCATTATTTTAATATCATCACAGGGCTGCTTTGTGTCCCCAGTCCAGCCTGGTCAGAGTATCCCTGGTCCATTTTAGATTGTTGGGATCTGTTATAAAATTGGGAGAAAAAAAAACAACAAAATTTACCATACTCTCCTATTCTTGGCTGTTTACTCCCTTTCCAATGAATGCCGCCAATTGTTCATGTCACTAGTGATAACATTAATACATCCCTTAGCTCTGAGCTCCGCCCACACCTGTCCCTATTTCTTATCTCCCAATGTTGGAAGGTATGTTACAGTAAATATATATTGTGATATTTATATCACTCCTTTTTATTATCATGGCTGTCATTATGCAGATTTTATTATTACTGGAATACTGAGAAATTCTGTGACTTGAATTAGAGTACAATAGGTTTGCGGTTATGAGTCTAAAAAAAGATAGGACATATAGATTAATATTTCATGTTCTCGTGTATAGCGTGCTTGCTTCCTGGCAGCATTTCAAATATGTTTTAGGACAATGAGGACATACTTCATCATTAAAAATATAAGCACTAAGCAAAATGCTGGATCAGGTCATATTAACTTCAAACTCAGGTTTAATTTAGGAAATGCAAAACATTTCAAGGAACATGGGGGCTGAAATCGGATCCTGCATCAAAATGTACTTTTTATGTAATGGATTTGATAAATAGCATTTTGTGTTTAGATTACTGATATTAAATGTGGTATAAGGAGAGAATTTTAGGAGTTAAAATACTAAATAAAGAAATCAGATATATGGTAAAACTTTTAACTGTCTTTTTGATTCTAGACATGTGAACCAGTGAAATGTTCTTTTCATACAAATAATTTCATACTAAAAAAAATTAATTCATCAATCCCAAATTTCATTCGTAACCATTCATTGTCGAATGAAATTCAGTAAAAAGAAATTTGTTTTCACCAGCTCCCCCTTGTAATAAACCATTCCTACCCCCTCTGCATTAAAACCTATGGGGGTCACTATGACCCCCATATTAATAAAAGGGAGGGTGGGGACCACAAATAAATAAATAATGGGGGGACCTAATGTCCCCTCAGGTGGCAACCCATGAGTGTCGGGTGGGGGCCCTAAATAATTAAATAACGGGGGTACCTAATGTTCCCCCCAGGTCCCCACCCATGAACGGACCACAAATAATAAAGTTACTAGGGATCCCCAAGCCCTTAGTCACTCCCCCCCAAAAAATAATTTTTCCCTAATAATAGTGGGTGGGGGGGGGGGCAATAAACTAACCCTGTGAAATAAAATTTCCTACTTATCATTAGATGTCCTTTCTTCTTTTCTTTCGTCAGCCCAAAAAAAGGCCATATAAAAATCCATAATACACGTCGCACCTGTTAAAATAAAAATCCATAATACCGTCGCAACAGTTAAAATAAAAAAAAAAAACGTAGCCCAAAATGTTAATTTTGTTAATTCCCCTGCAGCATGGAGTCTATTAAACAAATGAAATGAAAAGGTAATGCATTCGGCATTTTCCCTTTCGTTTCAATTATATTTTGTATGTAGTGCTTTCGTTTACGTTTTAGTAAACTAATACGAAAAAAAAACGACTTTTCATACGAAATCGTATTCATACGAAAACAAATGCACATGCCTAGTTGATTCCTCGATTAGAAATCCCATTACCATTTCCTACAATGTCTATAATAAATCCAGTATTAACAGTATTTCACCAATTTCCCAAAATGTTTGTCATGTAAAACCATTGTTGTGAACATTAGTCTGGACCAATTCAACTCAAATATAATTTTCACAAATATATTGGCCCTGGTGACCTCCTTAAAACTGGTCTCCATAGTATTTTGCAAATTTAGGATTTCCATAAGGAGTTCCCCTTGGTATTGGTAAGACATATGGACAGAGTAATTTGGTTCTCAAAGAGGGAAACATGGGAAATGATCTCAGAAGCATTTAATGAGATGCTATGCTTTTTAGATAAAGTGGGGCTATCCTATTAAAAAACCTATAGTTATAGCAGCTCTCTAATTAACTGTGTATATTAACAGTACACCACTGACTAATAAGTGAACAACACCCGTACGCACTGAAAATAAAGAAATTGCTGAATCGTCGTACCAATTATTTGATTTCATTTTTTTTCTTTTTGTTGTATAGTAACCCACAATTAGAGATGTCGCGAACTGTCCGCCGGCGAACAGTAGCGTGTTCGCGTTGGGCGAACATATCCGATTTCCGGTCCGCCCCCTATACGTCATCATTGAGTAAACTTTGACCCGGAACCTCACAGCCAGCAGACACATTACACCCAATCAGCAGCAGACCCTCCCTCCCAGGAAGTGTCTGCTGACTGTGAGGTTCCGGGTCAAAGTTTACTCAATGATGACGTATAGGGGGCGGACCGGAAATCGGATATGTTCGCCCAACACGAACACGCTATTGTTCGCCAGCGGACAGTTCGCGACAGTTCGGCGGACAGTTCGCGACATCTCTACCCACAATAAACTATTTATTACTTGCCGTAAAAGTTTTATAACATTTTCAAACACTTTGGATATTTTTTCAGTTGGCAATTAAATTTATAATACTAATCTTTATAAGACAAGTATAAAATACATGCCAATTGTTTTTTTTCTCTTTTGCAATCTGTTCAATGCAATTTAAAAGTTTGGACTCTTCTAGCACAGTAAATGTTTACTTCAGGGGTGCCCAAAAGGTAGATATCTAGATGTTTTAAAACTACAACTTCCATGATGCTTTGTCATTCTAAAGGCATGCAAAGCATCAAGGGAGTTGTAGTTCTACAACATCTGGGGTTCTACCATTTGGGCACACTGGCTTACGGTATTTACTGAATAGCAATTTTCTCATATACTTCAATAGAGTAATTTCTATTCACTAACCAGAGTAACACATTAAATCCTAACTCTACTAAGAGGATCCAACCCAAAATATTTAGACTGTTTGATATTATCTTTTAGAAAATGTTAAAATATCAAATGTTACCAGGGGCGGACTGAGAGCCTTTGGGGCCCCCGGGCAAAATTAGATCCCAGGCCCTTTGAAGGCCAAATATATGTGCATTTTAATAAATGTTAAATATAATTCATAATACGGCATTCCTTTGGATGTGTGTATTGTGAAGACCTGTGTATCAATGCATGTTTGTATTTGAGTCTGTGTGAATGCACTTGTGCATGTCTGGATGACTACATGTGCTTTTTTTGTATATAGTGTCTGTGTGAATGCATATGTGACAGGTGACAGAGTGTGTGAGGGAGAAGGTGACAGGTGGAAGAGTGTGGGAGGTTGTGACAGGTGGCAGAGTGAGGGGGTACCTGGTGGCAGAGTGAGGGAGGGAGGGGTTGAGTGGTGGCAGAGTGAGGGGGAGACACAGTGAGTGGGGGTGACTGGTGACAGAGTGAGGGAGTGGGTGACTAGTGACAGACTAGTGACAGAGGGAAGGAGAGGGGGAGACTAGTGACAGAGGGAGGGAATGGGAGACTAGTGACAGAGTGAGGGAATGGGTGACTAGTGGCAGAGTGAGGGAGGGAAGGGGTGACTAGTGACAGAGTGAGGGGATGACTGGTGACAGAGTGAGGGGGGGGGGGACTGTCACTAGTCACCCCATCCCTCTCTCTGTCACTAGTTACTCCCTCCCTAACTCTGTCACTGTGTCACCCGCTCCCTCCCTCTGTCACTAGTCACCCCCTCCCTCACTCTGTCACTAGTCACCCCCTCTCTCCTCTCACCCCCTTCCTCACTCTGTTACTAGTCACCCCATCCTTCTCTCTGTCACTAGTCACCCCATCCCTCTCTCTGTCACTAGTCACCCCATCCCTCTCTCTGTCACTAGTCACTCCCTCCCTAACTCTGTCATTGTGAAGGAAGGAAGGAAGGGGTGACTGGTGACAGAGTGAGGGAAGGGATGACTAGTGGCAGAGTGAGGGAAGGAAGGGATGACTGGTGACAGAGTGAGAGAGGGGGTGACTAATGACAGAGTGAGAGAGGGTGTGACTAGTGACAGAGTGAGAGAGGGGGTGACTAGTGAGAGAGGGGGTGACTGTCACTAGTCACCCCATCCCTCTCTCTGTCACTAGTCACTCCCTCCCTAACTCTGTCACTGTGTCACCCCGTCCCTCACTCTGTCACTAGTCACCCCCTCTCTCACTATGTCACTAGTCACCCCCTCCCTCACTATGTCACCCCCTTCCTCACTCTGTCACTAGTCACCCCCTCCCTCACTGTCACTAGTCACCCCCTCCCTCTCTCTGTCACTAGTGACACCCTCCCTCTCTCTGTCACTAGTGACACCCTCCCTCACTCTGTCACTAGTCACCCCCTCCCTCACTGTCACTAGTCACCCCCTCCCTCTCTCTGTCACTAGTCATCCCCTCCCTCTCTCTGTCACTAGTCACACCCTCCCTCTCTCTGTCACTAGTCACCCCCTCCCTCACTCTTTCACTAGAGTGAGGGGGTGACTAGTGACAGAGTGAGGGGGGTGACTAGTGACATAGTGAGGGGGGTGACTAGTGACAGAGGGAAGGAAGGGGTGACTAGTGACAGAGTGAGGGAGGGAGTGGGTGACCAGTGACAGAGGGAGGGGGTGACACAGTGAGGGAGGTGGTGACTGTCACTAGTCACTACCTCCCTCACTCTGTCCCTAGTCACCCCTCCCTCTGTCACTAGTCACCCCCTCCCTCTCTCTGTCACTAGTGACACCCTCCCTCACTCTGTCACTAGTCACCCCCTCCCTCTCTCTGTCACTAGTCACCCCCTCCCTCTCTCTGTCACTAGTCACCCCCTCCCTCTCTCTGTCACTAGTCACACCCTCCCTCTCTCTGTCACTAGAGTGAGGGGGTGACTAGTGACAGAGTGAGGGGGGTGACTAGTGACAGAGGGAAGGAAGGGGTGACTAGTGACAGAGTGAGGGAGGGAGTGGGTGACCAGTGACAGAGGGAGGGGGTGACACAGTGAGGGAGGTGGTGACTAGTGACAGAGTGAGGGAGGTGGTGACTGTCACTAATCACTAGTCACCACCTCCCTCCCTCTGTCCCTAGTCACCCCTCCCTCTGTCACTAGTCAACCCCTTCCTCACTCTGTCACTAGTCACCCCTTCCCTCCCTAACGCTGTCAACTAGTCACCACTTCCCTCCCTCACTCTGTCACTAGTCACACCCTCCCTCACTGTCACTAGAGTGAGGGGGTGACTAGTGACAGAGTGAGGGAGGTGGTGAATGTCATTAGTCACCACCTCCCTCTGTCACTACTCCATCC